GAGAAATAGATAAAGAAAAATCATTTTATTACATTTGATGGGATTGTTTTATACACTTTGATGGGTCCAAAATGTATCAATGGTCATTTCTCACTATGTGTTCTTTTGCGTCCTCGTGAAACGTCATCATCCTCAGCCCTAGTGCTGTTCCAGTTCGCTAGAACAGCATATCGAGAACGGACAAAGTCCCCGGATGTAGTTCTGGCCCCTCCCTCTTTACCCAGCATGCATCAGAGCAGACTTATCCGTCCTCCAGACTGATAGCTGTCCCAGCATGCACTGCAGCAGCAGCTTCCAGGTTAGCGCTCACAGAGCTCAGAGGATTAAATTAAAAGTTCTCTTTTCTGTTGCTGTTGTTCAATAAAAGCACGTTATAAGATCATTAGAGGCGAGAATATTATACTTTAAGCTTCACTTTATGGAACATTTACTGATTTAGTGCATAATTTAAAAAAAGTTCAGATGTATATATATACATATATATCTATATATACACATGTGTATGTACATACATATACATATATACATATACTGTGTTTACTGTGCACTTTTTTTTCTTTTTTTTTCTTAAGACAGTTATTTTTGCTCCTTTCAGCATTTCCCCCTTTGCATGTGTTTTGTGTGTTAGCGTCATTTATGTGTTTGCAGTAAGTATCTTTTGACTTAGCTGTTATGTTATGTAACCCCCACCCCCGCTCTACTTTATAGCCAGTTAGTAAAGTTTACAACAGCTATGAAATTTACGACATCATTTAAGGAAGAAAAAAAAACTACAAAAAAAAACAAAACTCAAAGTCTTTTACATTTTGAGAGTTTAGATAGTTTGACTAAATGCAATAAATATTTTCTATGGACGGTTTATTGAAACTGACCCCATTTCTACGGCGGTCAATCAGTTCTGACAGCCTTCTTCTGTCAGATGTAAAAAAAAACAAAGAAAAACAAATTGTGGATTGACAAGGGAACATTATTGTAATAAAATAATTGACTTTATTCATTTCACGTGTAGCAAAAGTAGTCATGAACATGTGCATGTTTACATTCAGCAAACGCATGTTTATTACGACGGTTACAACAAGGTACAGTTAGAAAGACTGTAACTCACGCTAAAACATCTGTTTTTTTTTTCCTTGAACTGACGTCTTTGTTTCCTTAATCTTAGATTTTTTTGGTCCTTTTTTTTCTTGAAATATTTTTAGATGCATTTATACAGAAACGTGCAAACACAGAAGACGTATTCTCTGGACGATTTCTTTCTTTCCTTCCTCTCTCTCGTTGATCATTTTATTTTCTCGCTTGACAACTAATTTTTCATAAAAAGCCAACAACTCCAGAAGAGCCAAACCGCTACCATAGACATACCTGCTTCTTACATGGAGACCTGGATTTTAAAGGCCTTGAAAATACGGTTATGTTTTTAACATTTTTATGGAGCTAAATTGGGGTCATAAAGTTGTTTAACAAAAAAATTATCTTTAGGAACCAAAAAAAATTTAAAACACGACAAAAAAAGAATCAGAAAAACTATTTGAAAACTAAAAAAAAAAACATTAACACTGAAAAGTATATTTATAGCTTTTAAAAAGGGTTTTAAAGAGATAAAAGATTTTATAAAAAAAAAAAAAATGTGATGCTAAAAGTTATTTTCAAAGCCAGTAAAATAAGCACAGAATATGGATGACCTTTTAATGACATTTCTTTTTCCCACAGTACCTGAATGCAACAGCTGGGAACATTTCACATGAGCTGTCAGTCATAATAATTAAATCCTTTTGTTAGTTTTAAATAATTATTTTTTCCAGTTTCCGATTTATCTTTTCAGTTGAAATTTTTTCTATTTTCAGTTTAAAAAAGCAAACTTTATGGCCCCAATTTTGCTCCATACATTTTCTACAATTAGTATAATTTCTGACTATTTTATTTTTTAAACATAATCAAACATAAATTTAGATAAAAGGGAAATTGAATAGTGAACTGAGTCTCTCGATTAAGCAGGTTAGGGTAAAATATTCTAGAATATCCTGACTGATGTTTTACTGATGATTAGAAACTAAAGGTTTATAGACGTGAATAGATGTGGTTTAGCAGCCAATGAGCCCCGTCCATGTTGGAAGATGTGTTGAGCTGCAGCTGAGTAAGAATGCCCTCCGCACACATTGGCACCAGACCAACAAGGTGCTCTAAGTTATGCAAGAGGATGAGTCACCGCGCGTGTGAGCCATTTTGTGATGCTCGCTGGTCTCTGTATGCGATACGCTCTGCAGTGTGGTACGAAATATTGCTGATGACTCTGTGTTTCAGAGAAAGGCGCTTTTCAGAAATGTTTATGAGGAGATAAAAGAATCAAACCGGGTTGTGATAAAACGACGGTTTCAGCAAGTTTGGCTCAGGTTATGGCTTGTTTGAAAGGGTTGCCATGGTATTAAAATAAAACAGCAATGCAGTGATGGTTTTGATCTGAAAGCCACATTTGAACGTTTTAAACAATAAAAAAAAAATGGAAACAGAAAAATCCTAGAATACTTTCCAACATTTTGAGAGAATCAGAGACAATGAAGACGGGCCTTTTTTATAACTAACTCAGGGTATAGATCCCCCTGAGATTGGACCAGTAAAGCCTGGTTTATGCTCAGAAACCAGGTCGTCTGCGTGTGTCGCAGCTAACGCAGATATGCCCCGCCCCTTCCGCAGACACTCTGGTCCACCTCCCCAAAATTGTAGGTGACCTCAGACGGTGCTGCACACAGGAGGCCTCTGATTGGTCAATTCTAAATCCGCTCTACACTTTGCGTATTTCCTGTTTGGTACCTAATGGCAGAAACTCTGGCTGTAGTGCCGTCCATAGGGTTGCCACCCGCCCCTTGAAATACGGAATCGTCCCGTATTTGCAAGTGAATTACGCGTCCCGTATTGAACTGATAAGGGACGCAATTTGTTCCATAATTTTACGAATTACTAAAAAAACAGTAACGGCGGTGCCTCTTGCACACAGAATACCTCTACTGTTGCGAGTGTGACCTTTGTCTGGGCGTCCTGATTCTCTTTCCCTCTCTCTTGTAGCTAGAGCTTAGAGTTCTACTGTTCTTGATCCACGTTCCCCTTATGGCGTTGTCTGTCTAAAGCATTCTCCACTCCATAATCTGTCTTCTTGGGGCGTTTATCATGGTTTCCTGGTGACGGTCCTCATGTTTAGTTCTAGTTCTATAAACTGTGCACCTCCACACGCCAACTCGAAGCATCTATCGCAACTTATTCATTACCAGTGCCCAGCTGACCTGCCTAAAGTGCATTCAAACGAACACGCAGAACTTTCTACATAATTGCCGCTAGTTGGAAAACTTTTTCTTGATCTATTTAGCCTATCTGAAGAGAAAGGGAAGGAGATGCCTATTGTACATTCTCTGGTTATTTCAACCTTGGGGGGGCCACAGCAGGTTGGCAGGAAAAGTATAACACAACAAAGTGACTCATTTAATAACCTGGGTAACTAACAACCAAAATAAACCAAAAATAAGCACAAAAACAAACCCATTAATAAAATACAGATAATCTTCCTTATAGCTTAAAAAAAATCTACCAGGCCAAGCACACCATTGGTTTTGTGAGGGGATTTCTGTGTGCGATGATACTGTGTGAACTTAACATTTCCAATTATTAATTATTTTAATTGACTGTAGCTTACTGCAAGACATAGAAGCCATAAAGGTATGGTTCTGTGTTGAACTGAAACGGGACACAATTTGGTTAAAATGCAGGAAATTTAAGGAAAATGCATCTAAGAAATTAGAATTTGCAATTTTCCCCCTGCGACAATGAAATTTCTCTAGGACCCCCGTGCCCCTTATTTCCATTTCTGAAAGGTGTCAACTAGTGTTGCACCGATACCGATACCAGTATCGGATGGGGCCCCGATACTGCCCTAAAATGGTGGTATCTGTATCGGCGAGTACCAACAAAAAGGGCACAGATACCATTTTGAGAGTCAAAAGTTTCTTCAACTATTGTCACCCACTCCTGGTAGGCAATAAAAAGTTCTACTGGATTCACTCTGTTTGAGTCTTTTTCCTGCTTCACAAATGTAGGCAGCAGCTTGACATGAAGCCATGATGGCAATTATTTTACATTATTATGGTATCGGTATCGGCCGATACTGCACAGCCAGGTATTGGGTATCGGTATCGGGGCCAAAAAATGGCATCGCCGCAACACTAGTGTCAACCCTAGCTGTCCACCACGCCTGGCACACCTCGGACTCTATCCCAGACACTGTGCAGGATGCTAGTTTGTAGCTCTGTGCGACGGTTTGTTTGTTTGCACCCGAAGTTAAAACATGTAGCGCCACGGCCAGTCTTTGGGGGCGTTGGATGAGGGGTTGTAGACGGCGAACAAGCTCGTCAAACCAACACATGGCAACCCACAATCCTAGCTAGTTCCTGATTGGCCCTCTGGTGTTGTTGCGTGGAATAACATAGCGCAGACCACGCTTCAATATTGGGCATAAATCAAAAATATCTGCGACAAACTCACTGCGACACACTGCTGCGGGAGGATAACCAGGCCCGGCCCCTTCTTGAAAATTATTTAATAAGGACAACAAAATGATATTTTTCATTTAGAAGTTGTTTAGCTTCATCTAAAGTGTAAATATGGGGTTCAGGTCAAAATGTCAGCTAGGCAACATGGAGTTGGACCCCCCTAGTGTATCATGGTGGTACTGCAGGTAGAATGTGAATTCCGCATCTCATCCTCCTCAGGACGGACCAACAAGGCAGCCCTGTCCCCCGCATTTCCATTAATTTAGGGGCCCAGACCTGAAAACCATTGAAGACTCCTGGTCTAGTGTCTTCATTCACTGTCATGGTTTGTAAAAATAAAGGATAAAACTTGGATCCATCAGTTTTGATTGAGAGAACAGAGCTTCTACATGAGACTTTTAACAAGGTTGGGATGGCCGCTGCCCCCACAACGGCCCAGAAAGGCAGAGGTCAATACGAAGCCATAATATTGGCAGTGGATCTTAGAAATGCTGCTCAGCCTGGTTCATTTGAGTGTTTAAATTGAGTCAGGTTTCCAGGATCCACCAGGCCTTGTGATTTAACAACATCCTCTCCAATGTTTTACACTAGATTGGTAGCATTGGTAACTCCAGTATTGAACTGACTTCCTGACTCATAATCCAGACTTTCTTGGTGGTTTGAGTTGAAATTTATGAGTTGGAAGCCAATCATTTCAACTTCCGAGGACAAACCGAACGTACCATAAGGCCACAGTCCCTTGATCTGGACCCATGGCCTCCAACTCCAGTTCTATAGATCTACTGCTCTGCATCTTTTACTGTAGGTTCATCCCTGCTCCAGCAAACCAGAATTAAATGAGTGGCTCTATACTTGGCCTTTACCAAACCTGATTTTGACATTAATTTGTGTCGGAGCAGGGAGGTACCTAAAAGTCACAGGATCGCAGACATCGAGGCCAAGAGTTGGAAACCACTGGTCTGGATCAGTTAAGATGGGATAAAAAAAACATTGTTAAACAAAACCTAACAGGAAAACAACAAGTTAAAGAAATCTACTTTTTTATGACTATTCCTTTTTTTCACCGTAACATCAGGCTCGTCTTCTAAAAGTTTGTGTTCAGTCCAACCTCTGTGCTCTGTTCATGAGGATCTGCTGTATGTATCTCTCCACATCATCATGGATGCTGCTGTCCAGCTGCTTTCCGTCCTTAAAATAACCCTTGTTTTTTATTACTGGAGGTCCTGCAGCAGAGATTAAAAACTGCTTTTGTTGGGGGACTGTTTGAGATTGGGAACGGATTCGGGAAGTGGGTATCCGCTGAAACGCCTGGGACGAAATTTGCGGATAATAGGTGGAGTAAAAAGACTTGTGTTGAAGACTAGGAGGTGATTTCCTCAGCTGAGGGGGATAGCGCCTGATTGGAGGGAAACCATAGGGGTCCTCCATGGAATTACCAAGGTAGCTGTTCAGTGTAAGAGCAGGTTTAGGCATGTAGTACTTGGGTTTGGGTCTGAGGATACGAGGTATGTAGTAAGGGTAGTAACCCAAGAAGGGTTTCCTCTGGTGGTAGGCATATGGATATAAGGAGTGGCCAGTCCAAACAGGCTTGGGTGATTTGAACCAGGGTCCCTGCTTCACCAAAAATGGCTTCTCTGGCTTTGGTGAAAAATTGCGATAGGGTAGCAAAGGTTTAGGAAGTTTCGCTTGTGAAACATACGATTTTGGTGTGTTTTTGTCTGCAAACCAAGCTTTGAGGATATTTACGGCTGGAGATGGTTGCTTGGACATGGGAAGGCTGTTTTGATTTGTTGAAAAGGGCCAACTAGAGTGAAGAGACGGAGATGAAGTGTGCTGCCGTAGCAATGCCATCTCAGGTGGCACGTCTTTCTTCTTCTTCTTCTCCACATCAGCAATTATGTCCACGACGTCATCAGCAGGGAGGTGCAACTTGCTGGAGATCTCGATCAGTTTGTCGATGGTCTGAGGGTCAATGTCGTCTTCCTCTGCCACCTCCTGCTCCTCATCAGATCGCTTATCCTCTGCAGCATTGGCCAGGGACAAACTGTGCTTCTTCTCCCCTTTGTTTTGTTTCACCATGTAGCTCAGTAGCATGTCTGAGGCAATATCAGCCAGCTTCTCCTCTTCCATCTTGGCTTTTTGGGCCTCTGCTGCTTGCCTCATCATCTCCTCCTGCTCCACTTTGGCTTGAGCCTCCTCCTCCTCCGGACTGAGGGGTTCATCCTCCTCCTCATCGTCCTCTGCACCCTCATCCTGCGCCTCCTCCTGCTCAGCTGGAGACGGGGGCTGCGTCGCTTTGCCGATATACTCGCTGTACTCTGGCTCTTCCACGGAATTGCCTCCCGTGAACGTGGGAAAGTATATTGCTTTCTGAGTTTCCTCCTGCCATTTTAGTTTTTTCTTGGTCATGGCGAGATTGCTGCCTTTATTTGTTGGAAGGATGTCGTTGTAGCTGCTAAATCCTCGGCCGTATCTCTGCTCGGAGATGCCATCCCTTTTAGTGTCGAGACGTGGGAACTCTTTCATCATGGTCTCCAGACTCTTCAGCTCCTCTGGATTGAGTTGCTCTTCGTCTTCGTCGCTGTTCTGCTCTGGGTTAGATACTCCCTGGCTAGCGGCGCCACCCTCCGCTGTTCCATCTGAAGTGCTGGATTGCTGCTTTGTTTGGACTGGGATCGTCTGACTCGTAGTGTGGCTTGTCACCTTCTCGGTTATCTTCTCCTCCTCTTCCAGAGCTTTCTTTTTCTCCTCTTCCTCTTCTCTCTCCCTCTCCTTACCCTGTGAAGCAATATACATCTCCAGCTCTCTCTGTCTATCTATTTTTCTGTCTCTGGTCGCTCTCGTACTGTATGGCTCTTCTTTTTCAATGTTTTCTCTCTCAGACTCCTCCTCTTCTCCCGTACTTTTGTACTCTTCTTCATCCTCCTCTCTTCTGACATATGTTTGATTCAGGGCTTCCAGTAAAACAGCTGCTAGCCTTTTGGGATCAACGCCTTCAAAGAGCTCCTCTTCTTTGTCAGTTTGGTCTTTAGTGGCCAGTCTCCCTATCTCTGGTATTCGTCCCATGTTTTCAGAGATTTCGAGCCTGGGAAGAACTTCTTCAGGCGAGTCATTGTGGTCTCCAAAAGCAGGGACAGGGTTCGATGTGGACGGTTGAAGGAAGGCCAACAATGTGAGGAGGACCGTGATAGAATGGAGACCCGAAGCATGGCAGTTCCTTCTCATGGCCTGTTGAACCAGGTCCTGAACTGGACACAGAGAGGGACCAAGAAACACCTAAAAGGGAGAGTGAAGAACAGATAATCACTTTCAGATTTCCATACAGATAGATAGGTATGCATCCTTCATGATTGCATATCACAATCTGTCCAACACTATTAAAAAGGACTTCCTGATGAAGTTAGAATAATTGGAATCTGTCTTATATGCCACAGATTAGCAAAATATTAAAGCAATAGGCACTGAGAAGCAATAGAGAAGACATATACGTCATTATACCGACGGCTTCAACGGGCGTATTGCTTTTATGAAACGGTTGCCAGCATTATAACAATTTGTTGGTGATAATTAAACAATACAACTGAGAACTAATTTAGCCTCTTCTGATGGAACAGTTCTCTGAACCGTTGACAGTTCATTGGTGTTGTGAGAGTTTACCAGCAGATTATAAAGATATTAAATAACTAGAATTGGAAGCTATAGCTAATTAATAGGTCATTCAAATCAAGGGCCAAACAAATTAATTATCATCAGTTCAATGATTTTAACTGTAATTTAATTAATAACCAGGGTTTGCAGTCTCTTATATAAAAGGTTGGACTCCTGAAGCCAGCTGGTAAAAATCCAGTTGTCTTTCACTAATTTAGTAATTCAGGCTATTGCTTTTAGCAAAGTTATTAAATCACCAACCAAATAAAAGTGTCTCTGTTCATTCAGATGCTACTGAAAGAAAACTGATTCCAGCATGAGTGATAAATCGTTCACTGCTTCAAATAAACACAAAGACCACGGGTTAAAAATACAATATTATCTTTATTAGCTACTATCACACAGTATTATTTCTAATAACTACACAGAAACTAAACAGTACTGAAAATAAGCACAAATAAACAAAAAAAGGGGTGAAGAGTCTGTTTAAAAGTCTCTGAGGAAAGTGCAAGTTTTAAAGCTTAATGCATTGAAAGTGTTCTTTAAATAGTAGCAGATAAATGTGAATAAACCCTGATGCAGAGATGCTAACTGCAGTCTAAACAGTGCGGTTTCCTTGGTTTTATTGTGGAAACTAAATAATGTCTCATTAATGCATTAGACTGTGATGAGGCTGAAGAGAAACAGGTTAGCTTAGCTGGTCTCAGGGATTCTGGTCCAGCTGAAATGAAGGAAAGGTTAGCTCACCCGCCTCTACAACGTGTTCAGTATAAGCTAGCTAGGAGCTAACGATGCTAGCCAGTCCAGTGGGCATTAGCTTTAGACAAACCCAGCTTGTTCAGTCTGTAGTGAGTGTTAGCATTCAGCTAAAACTCTACAAACCATCAGCAGTTGATTCAGAAAGCTTATTTTAAATAAAACCTAAACATGACGATCTATTCTACCTAGTTTAACCAAGCAGAGCACTTATGAAGCATCAGATGGAAAGGAGGAAGGATGATGTTATTGTTTTAGCTTGGCGGAATGGAAAGTCTTCGCCTCGGTTCGGTTTATTGCACGCCGCATCTTCAGTCCATTCTGTTCGTCCAACAGCAGAGAGGTTTGGATCAATCTGATGCAATAATAAGTGGCAACTTTGCAGGGGGGTTAATTTTATAACTCACGGCAGCCGGGACGTCTACCTTTAGCTACAATGGCTAGCTTGTAGCCACAGCCCTCATGGAGAAGCTCCGTGGGGCTGATCTCGGTCTCTGTATCAGGCAGGGATTGTCCCGGGTCTGATGGCTTCTGAAGTCTCCTTCAGCAAACAGCAATCGGGGCCCTCTGTCGGCGGTTAGATTTAGGCTAATAGATATGGATTAGCTCTCCTCTGTCTCTGCTGCAGCAGGCGGGTCCAGGAAACACTGCGTTCAGCTCCTTCTGAATCGCAGGAATAAGGCACTGAGACTCTGTGCAGCTAGCGCAGCCTTTGGTTGCTACTTAGCGTAGCTTATAGCAGGGAAGCACTTTAGAGTCTAGTGAACAGTGAACAGTTCTTTCAACATCGAACAGTTCTCGGGAAAGTCAACATTTCTCTGAACAGTGAGCAGTTCGCAGAACACGGGACAGTTCTCTGAACATTTAAAAGTTCTCTGAACATTTAAAAGTTCTCTGAACAGTGAACAGTTCTATGAATAGTTCAAAGAAATGTGAGCAGTTCACTAGACAGTGAACAGTTCTAAGAACAGTGAGCAGTTCTCGGAACAATGAACAGTTCTAGGAACAGTGAGTAGTTCTCGGAACATTAAACAGTTCTAGGAACAGCAAACAGTTCACTGGACAGTGAACAGTTCTCTGAACAGCGAAAAGCTCTTGGAACTGTCAACAGTTCTCGAAACAGTGAACAGTTCTAGGAACAGTGAACAGTTCTTTCAACATCAAACAGTTCTCGGGAAAGTAAACATTTCTCTTAACAGTGAGCAGTTCACTGGAAAGTGACCAGTTCGCAGAAAACCGGACAGTTCTCTGAACATTTAAAAGTTCTCTGAACAGTGAACAGTTCTCTGGATAGTTCAAACAAATGTGAGCAGTTCACTAGACAGTGAACAGTTCTAAGAACAGTGAGCAGTTCTCGGAACATTAAACAGTTTTTATGAACAGCAAACAGTTCACTGGACAATGAACAGTTCTAGGAACAGACAGTAGTTCTCAGAACATTAAACCGTTCTGGGAACAGCAAACAGTTCACAAGACAGTGAACAGTTCTCTGAACAGTGAAAAGCTCTTGGAACTGTTAACAGCTCTCGAAACAGTGAACAGTTCTTTCAACATGAAACAGTTCTCAGGGAAGTAAACATTTCTCTTAACAGTGAGCAGTTCACTGGACAGTTCTCTGAACATTTAAAAGTTCTCTGAACAGTAAACAGTTCTCTGGATAGTTCAAAGGAATCTGAGCAGTTCACTAGACAGTGAACAGTTCTAGAAGCAGACAGTAGTTCTCAGAACATTAAACAGTTCTAGGAACAGTGAAAAGCTCTTGGGACAGTCAACAGTTCTTGAAACAGTGAACAGTTCTAGGATCAGTGAACAGTGCACTGTACAGTGAACAGTTCTCAGAACAGTGATTAGTTCTCTGAACGGTTATCAGTTCAATGAACAATGAACAGTTCTCTGAACAGTGAATAGATCTCGGAACAGTGAACAGTTCACTGTCATCTATTCGCATCAGACCATCTGGGTTCGTCATATGCCCAGGTTCTGCTGACGGTTTTTCAAAGGGAGTTTTTCCTCTCCACTGTCGCTACAAGCATGCTTAGTGTGAGGGATTGCTGAAGAGTCAATGAGTCGATGCAATCAGCT